CTACCGCGACATGTCGAGCACCATACTGGGCGCCGCCCCTGACGGCCTGCCAGTACCGGAATCCCCCTCGATGTTCATCGCCTCCCCCAGTCAGCCGAGCCCCCCGTCCGGCCGCAGCTCAGGTTCCCACTCCGATCTATCGATGGGGAGGACTGGGAGCAATGCATCGACCGAAACTAGCGCGAGCAGCCCTTCCAACACTGCCAACACAATACCAGGAGACGCCAAGTCGGAATGGACGCAGCACGAGCACACAGGGCAGGAGACGGCACAGCCCGCCGACTTTCAAGGGACCATTAACCTCATGGCCATTGACAGCATGTTTGGAGGTGGAGGGCCCGGGTTTGGCGTGCCGCCAGAGACGACATCGGCCATGAACAGCCCATATGGCAACCCGGCTTCGGGCGAGTATTTCATGCCACCGAACCCAAATCAGAGCACCAAGATGCCTTCTGCACCAACGCAGGGGCTGCCATCGCCCGCGGCCACTTGTGCGTATGGTGACTTCTCGGGCGCATTTCAGGTACGTTGCCAACTCCCCTCGGGCTTGAGCTTCTGTTCACACGTTGGAAAGCACAATGGCACCGTGAACCCGACCTTTCCCATGACGACGCATACCTCGAGGGACGTGTCGCCACTCAGCATGGGCACACCGGCCGGCGAGATGGCGCCGTTCACATTCCAATTTCAGCCACCAGGCGTTGGCCCCCAATGGGTGCAGCCCAACATGGCGAATGGTGGTCCTGGCTTCCCAGTCATGAACTCGATGCCGATGGCCATGTTCCCCCCGATACCTACGCCTCCTCCCAGCTTTGTCGTGACGCTGGACACTCGGAAGAACGGCGCCAAATCTCGGGTTGAGACGCAGATTACCGTCCGCATGGATCTGAGGGGGCTGCCTCCAAATATTCACAGGGTCCACCTGCCAACGTACACCATGAGCAAGCGCAAGCTGCTGGCCAAGCCCACTCCGGACCCAGCACCCGATATGCTGGAACTGCACGCGGTAGTCGTCTGCACGAGCGCGATGGCGAAGCCGGGCGTCCTGGAGGCTGCTATGCAAAGGGCGAGAGAGGCGGCGGGACGAGGGCGGCCAATATACCCGCCACCACCTCCCCCTGACCCCGACAGCGACGACTCCTACATCGCGCCGCAGGATGGTGGCGAGGTTCAGATCTGCACCAACTGCATCGGCCGCGAACGGAAGAGGGCCGACAGGAAAAAGAATAAGCACCCGGAGCCAGACTCGTGGAACCAGGACGAGGTGCGGAGAATCATCGTCTTCAACACGCACGAGGTCAAGGAGTGGATTCCCGAGGGCGCCGACGACACGAGCCGCGACAAATATGCGGCCCAACCCTCGCATCGGTGGACCGACAAGATGCACATCGAGGTGCCCATGAGAATTGCCTGCTACTGCCGGCACCAGAGCGAGAAGCTCGGCTTCCAGGTCATCTTTACGCTCACTGACTCGCATTTCAAGGTCTTTGCCCAAGCTGTGTCGAATTCGATCATGATCACCGACGACCACAAGGCCGGGGCAGGAGGTCCCTGTGCCCCTGTTCCCGGGCAGGCTGGGGCCTCGATCGCCGGTCCGCTCAACCCGATGGCAGATGGCTCTGCGGTACTGAGCCAGTTCCACGGGCCAGACGGCCACAGCATGGGTTCTTCGGTACCCGTTCTTCAGCCTCTGAACGAAAACACGTCGCGAAAGAGACCGATTGCGGCTCGGGTTCCTCCCCCAGAGACCCCTGCCGCACAAAATCGGTCACCCGTAATGCCGACCCCCAAGAGCATATCGCGGTCTTCGTCTCCAGTCGGTACGTCAGCGCGCGCTCACAAGCGGAGGAAGCCCAGCAGCTCGGTCAAGATTCCTACCAGTCTCGCCATGACGCCGCTGGAGACGCAACAGATGCACAATCGACATACCCCTGACCCCCCGCCAGCACCGACCGCCATGTCGTCAACGCTCTCACCCTACTCATCCGCCCCGTCGCCACACTTTGCAACCACGCCCGACCAGTCTGGCTACAATGCTGGCGCATTTGGTCCAACAACCTCCACGCCGCCGTTCATCACGAGTCCGTCTACACCAGCTCACGAGTTGCACTTTTCGGGCCTCAACGTCTACTCCAATCCGCCGTCGACGCACCAGAGCCGCGCGCCAAGCCCGACCACGGAGAGCTTGCAGCATCCTCCCCCCATGAGGACGCAGACAGACGTGACCATGGCCAACGGGTACATGAATGCCACGCCGCCTCCAGTCATCAACAAGGTCGTGCCGCACGAAGGACCAAAGTCGGGCGGCATCGAGGTCTCGATCCTCGGGAGCGGGTTCGAGAACGGGATGGAAGTCATGTTTGACGATGTCCCGGCCACCACGACGACGTATTGGGGCCCAAGGGCGCTGGTGTGCTTGCTGCCCCCGTCATCAAGGGCATGCCACGTGTCGGTGACGTTGCGATTCCGGGAGAGGAAATTCCCGCCATCCAGGCCTCCCGCCTTCTTCCGATACAACGACAACGATGAAGATCAAGTCTCGCGGATATTGTTTGCCATCATGGCCGACAAGCATGGCAGGAATCCCAACGACATCCAGTCCCTCGCCAAGATGCTGGGGTCCCTGAACGGTGAGATGAATAACCGGCCCGATGGGGACATGGGTGGTCATCAAGGCCAGTACACCAGTCACGGCTCCCGGGCAGAGTTTGAGAGCAATTTGCTCAAGATGCTGGAAATGATCGACTTGGACGATAGCCCACGGCCGCCCTCCTACAACTGCAAGAGGGCCGCGACAGGTCAGACAATGCTGCACCTCGCTTGCTCCCTCGGCCTGCAGCGCTTCGTCGCCGGCCTTGTGTCTCGCGGGGGCGTGCTGGTGAACCCGCCCGACAAGGGAGGCTACACGCCTCTGCACATGGCGGCGCTCAACAACCACCACCTTATTGTTCGTCGGTTGATCTCTTGCGGCGCCGATCCCAGCCTGCGGACCTTGTCCGGGCTCACTCCTGAGGATCTTACCAAGTCGCCCGAGGTTCTCCAGGCTCTCCGGCACGTCGAAAGGCACGTGCAAGTGCGTCCGCGGGGCACAGGGGGCTTGCTCAGCCCTGGCAATAGCACGGCCAGTCTCCCCTCGCTGGGCGAGCCTCTCTCGGAGGCGGAATTGTCACGCTATCCAAGGGCCAGTGCCACGGCCGGGAGCTCCGAAGACTCGTCGTCGGATGGCGAAAACAGCGACGACGAAGCCTTCCTCGAGATGAGACGGAGGCCCACAGGCGAAGTGGTGTCCGAGGGGCCACCCGCAGACATGCTTCCCCAACCGGCCGCAGACGCTCGGGTCGGCTCGCCGGCAGCGGCAATGGCCGCCTTCAAGGAGCAACTGACGGCGCAGGTCCAACAGATCCAGCAGACGATGGCCCTGCACCTCCACCAGTTCCGCCAGCTTCCCCAGTTCCCCTACCTCCCGCAGATGCCCAACATGGCCCTGCTGCCCGAGTACGCCACGCTCCAGAGACTCACAGGCATCATGCCGAGGGCAGCCCCCGGCACCGGTGCTGTGCCGCCGCCAGCCTACGACGAGATCTTCCCGCGCCAAGACGACGGGCTGGACACCAAGCAGGAGTCGGCCGCGCGCGCGGCCCTCGACGCGGAAGCCGACCGGAAGTGCGCCGCGATGTTTGACACGTACTCTGCGGACACCAAGGAAACAGCGGCCGGGCCGTCGGAGACGGCAGAGGCGGAGGAGTCGGAGAGCGGCGGCTCCTGGTCGCAGGAGGGGCGCACCGAGACGGACGAGGAGGAGACGGAGGAGGAGGCGCCGACGCTGCTCATCGGGCGCAAGAACGCCATCACGGTGGAGCAGCAGGAGCAGCTCCGGCGGGCGCACGCCGAGAAGCTGAAGCGGCTGGGGAGGGATCGGAATCTGTTTTTCATCTGGGTATGTACCTTCTGTGGAGGTGGTGGTGGTGACGATGCTAACTGCGTGGTGTGATAGATTCCCCTGCTCGTGGTGGTCTTGTTTGCGTCGTTTTACGGCGGCGGCGTCATATCGATGGCGAAGGAGATGGTCGCTAGGTTGGCTGACGTCGGGGCGGTGGAGGGGTTTCCGGGGTATCATCAAGCGCAACACAAACGCCCCATGCGGGTTCCAAGGGCGCCTGAGCTAGGGCGGTATGCATAATGGGCGGCGGAGGTTGGTTGGGCGATATATAATACTTGGCTGGGATGGGTGGCAGGAGCGGGGCGATGGAGCCAGCGGCGTTGGGAGTTGAGAGTTTTTGGTGAGGGTGTGCGTTGTTGCTGGGGGGGCGTGTCGGCGCCGAGGGAGCGGGAACTATCTATCTACAGGTGATGGGCGACATGTCGCTGCTGCTGCTATGCGAGTGCTTTTAGTATTGTTCTTGCTCGGGACTGGTATTACCTAGATGATGGGGGTTTTGGGGGACGGACGTGGGAAGTTGGGAGGGAGCGTTTGAGGATATCTGGTGGTGGTTGGAAGTGTCAGGGGACCTAGCATGTCACCCCCTGCGTGTTGGACGATTGAGCGGTTGATTAGTCCGTGGTCTCAATGCGGATTGCAATCCAACACTGTTTGCTAGCGCTAGACATCAAGTCGAGAAGCGAGGTTCATGAATATCAGCGTCCAGTTCCAGTTCCATCTTTAGTGCCTCGGTCGAATAGGGGGGGGGTCTTGGTTGGTGTCGTTGATGCCTCGCGGCATATATACAAACCAGGGCTGGGGACAGGAGTTTACATGTCGACGGCACCACGCAGCAGCCTGTAAACAAGGTGGTAGTGACCCGAGATCTTGTCTTGAAGTGAACTTGAAGTTTACATGGCGTGACCTATGCTGAAAACAAACAAGAACGCATCGGTCAAGATGGCAGTCTCCAGAGGAGCAAAACAGGACCCAACCCAACTCATGCAGAGAACCACAGCAAGAAACAGACTCAGGTCAATGCAAAAAAAACCCCCCAAAAAATAGACCGCAAAAAAACATCTGCCCAATGACAGGCTTGAACTGTCGACTTTCGCATGACCAGATACATGGACCCGCAAAGGCTCGCTGTATTAGTACGACACTCTGACCAACTGAGTTAATCGGGCTTTTCGGATGCTTTTCGATGGAGCGATGAGTCCGGAGAGGCGTCCTTGATGGGGCGGTTGATGTCGGTCGAGTCATGTATCCTCTGCATTGTATCCTGCGCCAGGGTGGAGTTGGACGTCTCGTTCCCTTGACGACGGAAACCGATGAGGCGAGACAGAGATAGGGACAATGTAAATAATCTAGATATATTACACCACATACTCTCTTTGCCTTTGTCGACGCAGGTAGGTACCTACATATGGTATTATACCGATAACCGTCCGTTCTACGCATGTAATCCCCCCAAACCCCCCAAACCCAACCTAAATGCAACCGTCTTGTCCGTTATAACCCCTTTTTCCGTTTACCTTCCAAGTTCCCACCAACCCAAACACCCACCCACCCGGACACGCAAAACACATACCCCCCCAATCCCCGCCCCCCCCAAACGCCGAACCCCAACCCAAGCCCAAACCTAAACCCACGCCCTCCCCGCAAGTCACAACCCCTCCCCGCCCCCACCCCCACCCATCCTCCACCCCGAATGCCTCCCCCTCCCCCCGGCCCCCGTCCCCGCCCCCGCCGCCTCCTCATCCATCCCCATCCCCATCTCCTCCCCCTCATCCGCCCCCCCCACCCCAATAACAATACTATTCCCCAACCTCACCCCCTCCCCGTTCCCATCCCTCCTGCTATACGAGCTCAAGCTCGACCCGTAATTCACAAACACCCGCACCTCGGACGCCGCTGGCTTCCCGCCACCACGACTCGGCGGCGTGGTAGTCGTCTCCTCATCCGCGGCAGTGACGCCCGAAAACGGCCGTCCCCCGTACCCGCCCATCTCCGCCGCCGCCCCCATGATCGCGTCGGTGCTCGACGCCGTCCCGCCCCCGCCCGCGCGGCAGCAGCAGCAGCACCGCGGCGGGGGCGCGTCCGAGTCCATGCTTCGCGCGTCTTCCGAGTCGGGGTGGTGGTGGCTGCAGTGGCAGCCGCCTTCGTGCTCGTGGGCGGTGGTGGCGGGGGTCTTTTCGCCGGCGGGGGGGCCGCGGCTGGAGCGGTGGACGGAGCGGAGCTGGCCGAGTTCGTCGCCTTCGGGGTTGGTGGTGGTTACGGTGAGGGTGCCGTTGTTGTTGTGGTTGTTGTGGTTCGGGTGGGGGGCGGGAGGTTGTTGTTGCGAGTGGGTGAAGGAGTCGTTGGAGGAGGTGCTGTCGCGGGAGGTGACCCATTGGATGACGACGGCGCTGAAGAGGACTGGTGGGGGTTAGGTTTTGTGGAGGGGGGGGGCGGGGGGTGGGGGACGGACTGTCGCTGTTGCAGCACATGAGGCAGACCCAGCCGGGTTCGCCGTCGAGGGCCATGAGGACGGAGAGGTTTCTGTGGGGGGATGGGGGTGGTTAGTTTTGGTTGGGAGGGGGGAAGGGGAGGGGGGGCGTACACGATGCTGCTGATAAGGGTGCAGATGCTGCCGATGAAGGTGCGGGCGGCGACGGTGCGGAGACGGCGGTTGCCTTTGGTTTGCTGCATGTTTCTGAAGGAGTATAGGCCTGGGTTGTTAGCGGTGGCGATGCCGGGGGGAGAGGGTACGTACTTGAGAGCGGGATCAAGAAGAGGATGGTGAGGTAGATCTAGACAGTCAGCATCGACATTTGGCTCAATGGGGTGGGGTACTCACGTTGACGAGGAGATCAAAGGTAATGAGTGGAATCATAGCCACTTTCTTCATCCCAATAATACACTGACCGTTCTCGACCCTAGTGAAGCGGCTGGCGGAAAGGCGTCAGCTCTTGCAACCATCCACGATCCAGGTCCGAACAAACATACTAGATGAAGTTGAGGACGACGACACCGCAGTACACCCCTGAGAACCATCAGCACTTGTCCCGAGCCATGTCGACCGGGTGACCAACCAATCATGCCAAACGAGTTGAACAGGTAGAGCTTGGAACGCAGCCGTGGTTTCTTGCTAGTCGACCGAATGATGTGCTGGAGTGCCGTGTCAGCAAAGCAGAGCCCGATCCATGCAGAGAGAGTGTATCTCACCGATTTCTCAACCAAGAACATGTATATCAGCTACAGCAAGTCAGCGGGCCAAGTCGCCAAACGTCGCGGGAGTTCCATACAATCTGCACCACATGTTAGCCAGCGTCCTGACCAAGCCCCTTTCCCGCCCAGACACCGTACCTTGGTGGTCACGTAACAAACAAGACACAGAAGGATGGCTGACGCGCAGGCATCCATCGAGTGGTCGACGCCGAATCCAAACTGGAGAATGGCCGTCGCAAACACAAACAGGAACGAGTCTCCGTATATCGCAAAGACGACTGCCGACTGTCAGTTTCCTGTCCCTTCCCCGTTTCCGCCAGAGAGTGTTGACATACGCCATTGTACAAACGGTAGTCTAGACCATAGCTTGACCGCGAGGAACCTTTGTGCTGCGTTGGGACGCCCTCATCAGCATGCTTCCTCTCGCTCCCGCGCCAACGGCATCACGGCCGACTTACTGAGAAACGAAGAAATGATGACAAGCGAGAGCATGGCGAGTATGACGCTGATGATCATGCCCGCCAGGGGCACGCCGTGCTGCCCCAGATCGACATCTTCCCGCGGCCTCGGCCGACTCTCGACCATGGCGAGCAGAGGGGGTGCCATTGCCGCGCCGGCCTATCCATCAACGGGCGGGTGGGTGCGACGTGTGCCACTCCAGCGGGGGCCGGTAGCGCAAGGGGGGAGAGGATCGCCGCCTTCCTCGAGTCGGTGTGGGAACCCGCTCAGCAATGATACAGACTGGTGGACGACGGGCAGCAATCAGTCGTACGTGAAAAGATCCAAAAGAGGGGGCGTCCCTTTCATATAAGGTATGCATGAAAACGCCAGTCTCGGAGAGACAAGATGGCAAATAGGTTGGTAGGGTGGGATACACCAGACTGAGGGATGTATCAACATGGAGATACACAGAAGAGGCCCCGAGTCGCCTAGCGCCGTCGTCGTCCGGACATGCGAGCAGAAGAAAAGAAGGGGCAGGGCAGGGCAGGGCAGGGCAGCTGGAGGGTATGGACTTGCCTGCCAGCCCCATGCCATGGCAAAGGAGGGCAGAATCCGATGGGCTTTGTGGTTCTTGCCTCGATGGCCATCACGTCAGGAAGGGATCGACAGGAATTTGGCATGCTGGCAACGCCACAGCTGCTGCCGTGGTACCCCGAAGCCACCTCGATTCTCGATGGGAAATTGACTGGCAGCGAGCCAGCGAGGAGTCGAGACAATGGCTTTCAGACAAAGCCGGGGACAGCGAATGGGAGCTGGAGGAGAATACCCCCCCTGTGGTCGAGAGAAAGAGACTTGACTCCCGCTGGGCAGCGGGATGCACCGTTTGCGCCCGTTCCGGGATCCCGATCGCAGGCTGCCAAGAGCCAAAGACCCGGCATCCCGAGATGCACCTCGTCACGCCACATATGCCCTCTTTTCCGGAAACGGGAATGGGGGCACTCCTCCCCTGGGCGCGTCGAGGTGGCCGAGGTGGCTTGCAGACCCGAGGCCTCGAGAACTCGAGGGCTGTTAGCGGCCGTATGTGGCGAGGCGAGACCGAGCTGGGTCTCGGCGGGGATGCGACATCTCAGGCTGGATACTGGGAAATATTCGCGATCGGTTCTCGGGGCAAGCCTATGTGCAACAAAGACTGCCCTTGAGGGGAGGGAATTCCATCTCATACGAGGAGCTGAAGCCAACTGCCGGGATGACCCTTCGATGGCACATTCCAGTCCAAAGACGTTGACTCCCCCCGTGCCGTGACAGTTGTCGGCGAACCGGGCTCCAGCCTCAATCTTGGAGGAGTGGCTGCAGGAGCCTGGCTACAATCATATGCGGCTCCGGCATAGCAGCGATGTGATGAGTTGGGTGACATGTCCCAAGCTGCAGGTCGTCTTTGCGACGACGCGACGGGCCAGTGAGGGGAAAGAGGTGGCCGGCAGTGGACGACGAGATATCCAGGTGTCCAGATCAAGGAAGAAGAAGAGAGTGAGTAGCAAGGATGGCGCCGTATCGACGTGCAGGTTTTGCCGAAGTCGAGAGACAGCAGTTCCCGTCGGGAGTCAGGACTCCGCAGCGACGATCCGCTGTCAGTCTAGCTGTCTACAAGAGATAAAAGGAAGGGCCTCTCGCAAAATCTGTTTATGGGGTTGAAGAGGTCGATGACTGGGACAGTGGATCCCCATTTTGAAGGGAGAGGATGGGATTCTGAAAAAACGGTGAGTGGGGTCGAGGTTGGCACCGGGGGGGGGGGGGGGGGGGTAGCCCCCCCCCCCCCCCCCCAAATCCCCCCCCCCCCCCCCCGGGGCGGCCCCCCCCAACCCCCCAACCCCCAACCCCCCCGAAAAAAAACCCTCCGCCCAAAACCCACCCC